CCTGAGTTCGTGACAAGTTTGACAGTGAGCCAGCATTAATAATACCAGGTCCTTGAAACTGAAGCAGCTATGGAATCAAGCCACCATTTTTTTTGTTTTATTTACACCTCTGCTTTTCCCTTGAGACATGTCAAATTGTATTCTTTGGAAGGTTTATATAATGATTCTGATAAAAGGTAATAATGGTAATTTAAGGTGAGTATTCCCTCAATACACCTCTATTCATGTCCAGCATCATTTCACTTTGACATCATAGCACCAAATAGAACACGTGTCAGGCATCAGAAACTAGGAGTCCTAATAAGACCTGATGACTGCAGTTCTGAGTGATCCATATGTGTGACAGTAAAGCCTTAATCCCTACTCATTTTTTCTATGTGATATGGACCTTGAGTCTGAAATAAAGATTTAATTGCATATTCAACTTGATCTCAGCCCGTCTATGGATAGAAGGCACAAAGCACACAGGAAATGATTGAGCTTTGAGTTGGGCATCTGTCCCTCCTTTCTCTGCCAACAGACTGCCACTGTTTGGGCAAACTCCAATTCATCATGATGACTCCATCCTTCCTTTCATCCATCCATCCCTTTTTCTTTTAACGCCTTTGATATGATGGGACACTGGCTGAAGCAAATTAAATCAATGTGCTGACGCACTGCCATTTGTATGATTAAACTCAGAATAATTTTCCGGGCTACATAAAGGTAGATATTTCTACTATTCAAAAGAACATTTGTTTTGCCAATTACCTTAAATTGTTGCTGACCTCACCTCCCGCTGCTGAATTTGTGTGTTTTTCTCATAGTGATTCAGCTCCAGCAGGAATGTGATACAGGAAGGCAATGTCCGTTTTCATTGATTGTTATACCATTCCTCTGTTAGAGAAGGCCACGATTGAGACGGTAAGACACTGACTGCTCTTCCCCAGCAGACTTACAGTAAACATCCTTCTCTGGGCTCAGCTATTCGCCAGACGGTGTTCTTTTTTGCATAGGAGTCAGCAGTTTGTGTGTGTGTGTGTGTGTGTGTGTGTGTGTGTGTGTGTGTGTGTGTGTGTGTGTGTGTGTGTGTGTGTCACAGATTTGGTCTCGAGTTACTAGAGAAAACCCTGTGCACTGGGCCCAGATGAGAAGACAGTTGGAACAGTGTGAATATCCTCCTCTCTCAGCCTTTTTATGTGTTTGTTTGCCTCTCTGTCTATAGCTGGTATCTGTCTCAAGGAGATCCTCCCACTCGTTTCTGGTGTCTTTTTGTGGGTACAGCTGGCAGAGACTGGCAGAATTTTCTCCCTGAATAGCATTTTTTTTTTTTATCTCTCTCCCTCCCTCTATCTCTACCTGAATGGCTGTTGGGACTGAGCTAAAGGGTTTATCTTAGAGCTCCAGAGATCTGATGTCGAGATTTTTTTTGCACTAACTATGAGCTCATGCAGTTTAGGATTGGTGGCCAAAGTTAAAATTTCAAGCTCGCTGCTGATAGAATGGGGGGCCTTGAGGACTTCAGGGTGGGGGGATGCTGAAGGGTCTCTCGGCCTACGTATGCAGTTGAGACAGGGAGACAGACGGGGGCAGGGAGTGCTTTGTGCATCAGCCCTTTCCCACACTCCCTTTCACCTTTTGTTGTATGGCAGCACCAGGGTTCTCTGACATGACCAATCGCTCTGCTTGCTTAACTGAGACGGAAAGTGAGAGTAGAGTGAAGTGGAATATTGTGAGTGCGCAGACTCGTCCTTTAATCTTCCTGCCTGAAACTTTCTCTGCTTTCCATCTTCAGTCCTGCCCCTCTGCTCGGTCTGGAGCCAAGGTTTAAAAAGTTTTCTATCTCTAGATGTTCAGATTCCACAGAGGATGAGCCAGACACAGGCACACACACAAAGTCGCGCACATGCTCATATACTCACTAATTCCCCTGCCCAAATGCCAGCACCAAGCTGTTGCCCATAGAGCGTTCAGGCTGTCACAATAGAGACATTACCACATGAGTGAGTGGCTTTGAATAGGACTAAGGGTGTGTGTGTATATAGAGTGTGGTGACTACGGGGGGAGTTACTGGCAAGGCAGACGACCCTGTCATCACCTCTGCCCCTTGTCAAACAAGCAATCACCCCCAATGGCACATGCATGCAGCACACACTCTTGCACACACTCCTACTACGCTGCAGGATCCAAGAAATCATCCCCACTTTGTAACACTCTTATTTTCTTTAAAGGAGATAAATCATTTATGGGAGAAAGAGAGAGATGAGTAGGTTGGCTGGTTAACTGGCCAAGATAGATAAAGTGATCCTTGCAGGGCTGAGCAGGGTGAAGGGTGAGAATCCAGAGGTCGAGGAGGAGGGAAAACGAATGAAAGAAGAACTCTTTTCAAAATGAACGAAAGAGCTGGGAAAAGATCAGCGCTTCCTTGTGGAAATAAACTCTGTAAGCTGAAGTGAATAGTGAGCTGTGCAAGAAGCAGATAGTAAAGTGTGAAAGAGAGTAAGGAAGCACATGACACTTTTCAAACGTTTGTTAGAGGCTATTGTCGCTCAGCTCTGACAGTGAATTGTCAGTGCGCGTGTTGGTGGGCGAGTGTGCAGCCTTGAAATGTCATTGTGCAAAAGCAGAGCGAGATCATGCTTCCAGGAGGCATGCAGGATGTGTGTGTTTGGGTGCATGCATGTGTCAGTGTGTGGTAGAGGCAGCGACAAGGGTTTAAGGGGCCACGTCACTTTGGAATGCATGACAGCAACGTTTTGTCACCGTGAGGATGAATGCAGAGTCATGGCAGCAGAAGAAGAAGAAGAAGAAGGAAGAGGAGAAGAAGAAAGGAAAAGGAGGAATGAGTAAGTAGAGGGAGGAGAAGAAAGGACTAGTATTCTTTTCTTTCTTCTCCCCACACTCAATGAGGAAATTAGGTCATCCAAGTAAAGCCATTGCAGGGAACAAATCATCATCATAATTGGACCCTTAACAAATCTGTGGAGGTGGCTGCTTCACGCACACACAGGAAAAAAAAACACAGAAGCCGACACACACTTTCACAGCAACGCACATGGCCGGGAGGGGGTGAAACAGAATTTCAGCATAAATCAGGGTATGTTTGACAGTTTTATAGCTCTTTCAGGAGCCTCATTTGGGACACAAGCGTGATAGAAGAACGTTACTCGTGGTCAAAATAATTGTGGTCATGATCCTTCCATAAATCTCGGCGGGGTTACATCACATTTGCTTGCAAGCTGCAGGGAAAACATCCCAGCAGATCAGGTGGGATCTCTGTACCTCATTCTTTCAGCGGTGCCGAGCATTCACAGCAAAATGCTAAATTAGATATGAAAATAGGTTCTAATTACACCCAATTTATAGTCAAAACCACAAACCGAAATGCACCCAACCACAAAAAAGTCTAGCAAATAAAGTTACAAATATTTCATGTTTTTTACAGATAGATAAAATGTATATGACATGTTAATTAGAGAGCTTAATATGTGTTGGTATGCGTTGACTGAGCCGCTGTGGGTTTTTAGCATTCCTTTTTCTTCATGAAGTGTTGCTTCCATGACCATCTCAACTGTTGAGTGGCCCTCAACTTACATGTGATAGAATTGGTCAAGGCAGGTGGAGAAGCTGAAACAGGAGGGATGATAAGTACAACACTCCATGTATGGACACACACACGGAGCAGTAAAGCAGGAGAGGTAACATGTCCCTTTTATAGGCGTCTCCTCGTGTCAGAGGCAGAGGTTTCGCTACACGATCTCTGCCAGTAGGAAGTGTTAAAGAAGATGAAGATTGAAAGCTTGACCTTGCACACTCTCAGCTCTTCCTCGCACATTTCCTACGACAGGCGGCACAGTTTATTTATTAATGTTTAAAGACAGTCTGCTTGATACCAACAGCAGGATTCACACACATTCCTGACGCCTACACTGCAGTCAACACATGTCATGTAGGCAGAATAAATCTCCATAAAGAGTTTGATTGGAAGCTGTTGTGCATGTCAGAGTTGTCTACTGCCTGTAGCATCTGCAGGAACCATATCAACAACTGGGCAAAGACAGAGAGAGGCAAGCCGGAGCTGACACTAATCCAGTAATTGCCATGTGACCATGTCGCTTTTCAAAAATAATTGACAGTATTTCTAAAGTGAGATGGGAGTGTTTATCCTGTTTCTGCCCAGACAATTCTGAAGAACCCAAAAACTCGGGATCAGTAATGAGATCTTGTTTATTTTTCGAAATATGTGGTTGAATCCCTAACACCTCACTTTACGAAATGGGCATTTAAAATGACTATCTCACCTAAGTCATTTTTTTGTGTTGAATATGAATTAAATACAAGTTAATAACTTTTCATTTCATAAAAGTGATTGCTTCCTATACTAACATGACTAGTAGAAACCATGACTAAATGTACTTCTCATTCTCAGTGATAATCCCTTTCATTGGTCCTGGAAGGGGGATGGGATGCACAGCTGTCACTCTTTGATCTGCTGTAAATGGGTAGAACATAGAATACAGCTGTGCAAAAAAAACCACATTTATTTTACCTTTAAGCATTTACTTAAAATAATAACAAATGGCAAAGCAATGACATTTAAGAAAAAACATAATTGTAACCATCTGATCCCAATAAATGGTTTGATTTTGCTTTGACATGTACAGTGATTTATACTCTGAAGCACACTGTGCATGATTTTCAGTTTAGGATGGCCTTGAAGAGATTACGAAAATGTGATTATGTCCTTGAGTCTTCATCATTTTTGGTAAGAAGATGAATTCAATACATGTTAAAACTGCATATCAGGGCTAAATCATTATCATAAATTATTGTGTACAGTGTTCTCTAGTGTGATGAGTCTCCAAAGGCCTTCCATACAACCCTAGAGCCAGGCGGCTGATTGACTAGACTCAGCTGGTTGTAGACCCTCCTTCCCAGCGTCTCCTCCTCTCTCTCTCCCCTCCTGCCCTCTCCCCTGCTCTCTCTCTCCCTCTCTCCCCAATCGCAAGGCTGCGCTCACCGACTCTACACCGCTAACAGGGATGCAGCGAGGGCGCAGCGCAGCCTGAAAAATGGCACCAGCACGCGTCCTGTGGATCTATCCATCCCTTCCCCTCCTGTCCTCCCTGCTTCTTCTTTTTCACGCGTTGTCGCCGTGCCGAGCCTTAAGGAATTACCCGGAGAATGAAGGTGAGTGAGGGAGTTGACACGGGTTGTTTGCTGCGTGTGTCGGCGGATGGGGAGCCCCTTCCCGCGGTTCCACTTGCCCGGGTAAGAGCGACGGAGACTCCCGTTAAGTGCTCGGCTCGGTTATGAATCATGTATAAAGAAAAGCGGAGATAGCGAGAGAGAGGGGGAAAACTGTTCGTCACGTTTTTCTTTTCCGAGCATACTGACATTAAATTTGTATGATATATACACACAAGGCAACCCTGCCATGCTGAAGATAGAGAGGGCTGATGAAGACATTTCACTTTCTGACATCGGAGAGCTTCTTCACATTTGTATTCATCTCTGGAACTATGTGTCTTGCATTAAAGTAGCCTAACTTAGAAGGATTACGCCAAAACAACATTGACATATCTGCCAAAATCCATTTTAATTATAGATATCTTCATTATAAAGCACTGATACATGTTTTTGTTCCCCTCCTGCTGTAGCCCTGTCTGCAAATGAGGAGCAGCAATTACATTACATTTGTCACACGCTGCTGCTGAGCCTCTCTCAGTTATTGTATTAACATCGATGCTTGGCCTGAAATTAGCCAATGCATTTACTCACTAACTACTCCTGACTGCTTGCTGGGCGGAAACATGGTAGCTGGCTTGTTTAATGGGAAGTTGAAATAAAGGGAGGTCAGAACAGACCGGTTTGCACAAGTTGTTTTCACAATGATGTGTTTATAAAAGCAGATGGTTGTTTGGACAAAATCAGAAGTGTGTGTTGTTTTCGCTGGCAGGCTTTCAGACAGGGTTTGATACAGCTGTGAGATTATTTTCATTCTGTGAATCATTTAATTTAGTTTTCCCCAAAGCTTCAGTCATTCCTGCTCTGTGGCTCAACAAAGCTCTAGTTTCTCAGTTTTGTTCCCCCTACTCACACACACATAAAAAGTCTGGCTTAGGTTAAACACTCAAATAATTCACCTTAAACTCCTGCACACAATGACAGGCTGAGGTTGGATGGGATCTCCTGTGTCTGTCTCACTTTGACAGTATGAGCTGAATGTATGTCACAGCTCCGTGGAGTTCACGCAGAACAAAGGCTCTGGAGGGTACAGGGAGAGAGAGTGGAGATATGTTTTAACAGCAGGAGACAATGCACATGAAGGAGACACTTAACACTGTTGAAATATTCATTGAAATGAGCATGAATGATGAAACCAATTGGAATCAAAAGGAAACTCCTGTTGATATAGATTAACAACTACGTGTGTGTCCTACCTGAGAATTGTTAAAGTGAGTGACCAGTCAGATTGCTCAGATAAACACTGCCAGTCCACATCTGTTTGCGATTACCTGCCTCTGGTCCTACTGTTTTAGACTACTGTCCTAAAGGGCGCCTACAGTATAAGCCCATTGTTTGTGTTTATATGTAGAGGATGTGTCAATGAAGCCGTTTTTGTCCGTCTTTCTGTGCCCTGCGTTAACCTTTTCGGCCTTCCCGTTATCCTTCAACTGCACGGGGATTGCTCTTCCTTTTGCCTGTGTGTGTGTATGTGTGTGTGCACACCTTGCGTTTGTCTACGAGTGTGCATATTCTGCACCCACGTATCTCGGTATAGTCGTGTTATTCCAGGACATTCCCTCTGAGTCTGTCGAGTAGACGCAAGGCTGTCATAAAAGAAGAGACAGACCTCTCAAGGCTCGATTAAGAACACAGTCCCTCTGATAGGGCAAATAGTGTTAAGCTGTCAACAAGTTTACAAACAGGGCTATTGATCTGCTCTAAAATTGTTGGCATTTCCACGAAACTCCGTTCTGAGGATGGACCTGCCAGAATTGATAGAATTGTTTTAACCTGCTCGAATTAGGGGTTGAGATATAGAGGACAAGTGATCATTCAGAAGTTGTTTTGATGAAGAGCGTGCTCTGAAGGTCTTTGTTACCACCAGAAAAAAAGAGGAAGAGGAGTGGATGAGTTTTTGTGCACCAGCAGAGGGAGCCCAACACACCCTCTGTCTGAACCCTGAGGGCATACTGATGTAACCGCAGGGTGGATGCTCAGTGGTCCCATGGTTTGTTTAAGTCCCGCTGTCTTCATCCCATCTTTAGTTCCTCTCTGTATCCTTTCCAACACGGAGTATCTTTTCCCCTTTTGTCATTTCTTTGCACCTACACCTCCCTTTTTTGCACCCTCCTCTTTGTGCAGCTTCTTGGAGGAAGGGGAGCAGACTATTTCTATTTTTGTATCTCCCCTCTCTTTCTATAAATAAACCACCTCAATCCTAGAAAACATCGGAGTATGACTGGGAGCCCCCAGCCCTATGCTTTCTTCCACTGTGTAATAGAGTATGCTAATGAAGGTGGATGAGTGATTTTACTCCAAACTCTCCCTGAAAACAGCATGTGAGTGGATACATACACTCACATACATCATTGAATTAATAATCAAGAGATGGCAGAAAGGGAAGGGAAGAACAACTAAACATGGGAAAGAAGTGACTCATCTGTGGTTTTATGTTATAGTCTTGGGGTTTGATGTAATCTGTAATTGGTCTCGGAACTACAGTACAATTGAAGCTTTTTATTGGATTGCCCTCAGGGTGCTGGGGGGGTGGGGGATGCTGTATTGCTTTGTAAGGTTAACATGAGGGTGAGCAGTTAGTGCAGAGGCAAGCATATGTAAAGCATGCCCTCTTCGTATGATTCACATAAGCTCCTGACTGTGGTATAATGTTGGGTCAAAGGTCTCCTCTGGTTTAATTGCTTTAATCTATAATGGTTGCTTGTAGTTATCGGCAGAGCCATAATTCCACTGTGTGTGTGGGTCTGGGAGATTGCTATGGTCCCATGTAACAACCATGACCTTGGACAGAAGAGGATATAGATCTCTGTTCTCATCAGAGAGCACCGGAGGTAGACAGAAAGCACGAGCACACTCATGATTTTCCCGTCCACCTCCTCTACTCCTCCTCCATCTTTAATCCCCTTGTTTCATATGTTCCCTTTTCTCCCTACTCGAGCTCCTTTATCTGCCTCACACAGGCCCATACCTGATAGATGTATGTGCACATGCATGCCCACATACACGCTTCCTATCGTAATGTATGGCTAGGGGGCAGTTTGGTGGTCTTGGTCCAGAGAATAGTGTCATGAATTTCCGGGGCTGGGTGATAGATGGGGTTATAAATACAGCTCAGTGACACAGAAGGATTCTGCTGTGAGGGCTTCACCTCGTGGATTCAGTGTGTGTGTGTGTGTGTGTGTGTGTGTGTGTGTGTGTGTGTGTGTGTGTGTGTGTGTGTGTGTGTGTGTGTGTGTGTGTGTGTGTGAGGGAGAGCAAAAGATAGAGGGAGGCTGAAATTATACAGACAAATCCACAAGAGAGAATCTGTGTCATAAAACAAAAGATTTAATAACCATAAGGACGAAAAAAGAACAAAGAAAGTGAGGTAGTTACTAATTAATCAAAAAGTTAAATAACACACACATTTATTCTATTGATCAACCACAGAGCCTTTGTGTTTTGTTTGAGTGTAGCCAGTAGTTTTTTCCTACAGAGTAGATCAATTTCTACGTCACGTCTGTTAAACATGAAGCTGGAGTCAGCAGCTGGCTAAGCTTGACATAAAGCCTGGAAACAAGGGAAATAGCTAGCAGGCTGCGTAAAAGTGTAAAAATACATTTGCCTACAAGAACTTTAAAATCTTACAAAGTTTATATCTTTTTAATCTGTGCACTAACCGGAGACTAAAAGCATTCACGGTTTTATGGGGGTTTACAGGAAGTCACTGCCCCCCATAAAGCCACAAATAGTCACTTTTTACAGTGGGGCTTTCGCACACATTAAGCAAGGAGATGATATGCAGACTGTGCCTTTTTAAAAATAATAGGAAAAGCCGCTGGACTTCGTTATTGGTATACTGTATATAAGCATACATTTAGTTTTTCTTCTAATGATGTGAACACATTCAAACACAACTTTACAGTAGCTAATGAACTTCAGTACAGCCATAGAATAAATATGTCTGGGACTTTTATTTTTTGTTTTGCATGCTTTATGAGTGAACTCATCACTTAAAAGGGAGGCTGTGGCTCAGTAGGTAGTGCGCTGAACTTTGAATCAGGGGGTAGCAAGTTTGAGTCCCACTGCAGTCAGCATGTCGTTGTGTCCCTGGGCAAGACACTTCACCCCAAATTGCTCCTGTAGGGATTGTCCACAGTACTGAATGTATGTAAGTCGCTTTGGATAAAAGCGTCTAACAAGTTAAATGTAATGTAATAATGTAATGTTAAACGTTTTTGTTGCATATCAGTGTGTATATCATTTAATTTATACAAGTTGATAAAGAAAACAGCAAAACATTCTTTCAGTTCCCATCAGTGAGGTGAACATGTGTGTGCCTTTAACAGCTAGTCCTGAAGTTGAACAGTTTTTAAGCTTGAATGATTCCAGTCGGATGCACAGTTCATTAATGTCAAAGCAAGCCTTCCCCCAGTGTGATGGCTGTAGTCATGTTTGGGAATAAGTGGGCCCCCGCCACATCTGTTGACCCCCTCCCCCTCTGAACAAGCCCTTAACTGCTGCTCAAATCACTGATCAGTGGGCCTTGACCACTTTCTACCCGCCCCTATCCCAGCACCCCCTGTCCTGACCTTTAATTTGTCCAGATTGAATTTGTTTGTTTCCATACCTCTCCCTCTCTTTCTGTTTTTCCCGTCTTGTTTGCTCTGCAGGCTTGGCTCGTGCCGTGGCTCTGAAAGCCTGCATTAGGCAGCTTTGCAAACAAACGGCCGAGGATTTGGGTCAGCCGTAGCTATAGTGTGTTTTCTGACCCTCTTCTCTGTTTTATGAGAGCAAAATACCTGAGGACTTGGAAACTAGAAATTTAACTTCCAGAAAACATCTATATAGATTCCTCTCGATTTGACTTTTTAGAAAAGATTCATAGGAAAACATTCGTATACATATTTAATCAGCGCATTCTTGAAATTGTTCAAATGGGCTTATTTTATATCAACGTGTGT